TTTAGGCTGAGGGACCTTTATATCTAACTCAGACGCCCCACACAGAGAGGCTCCAACTTCAACTATTGTTCCACCTTCTCGTCTCCTTGATGCATCAGGTCMACAWTAAAATCTTCTGCATMAGACATCAGCTGCTGCCTGAGTTCTCCTTTCACCAGCTTCCAGAAAACTTCCATAACACTCAAGTGACTGAATGATGCACAAACAGATTGGATATCAAGCATACAGATAATATTGACCCTAACCCTGGGGTATGAAACAGACCCTACAAATACTATTACTATTACTATTACTACTATTACTACCACTCCTACTCTCATTCTATTGGCTTCCTTCTATTGCTATTAGAGATCTGGGCTACCAGTTTCTTCTGGGTGTTTTCTCATTAGAAAGACAGAGCCATGGTCCTGCAGGGTTCATGTCTTTGTTAATTGTTCATATTTGATTGGGTTCACATTGTAATAAAGGGAGATACCCAAAGACGTTTGTATAGCTGCTTTCAGACATGCACTGGACTCTGCAGTGCCTCCGTATTTTCCTGGAGGTGAAGCATGTGTAAACACAAATGTCTGAGTGAGATGCTCCACAGTTTTTATGACTTTTATACTAGTAGGTCAAGTGGGAAAAAATAAGTATTGAAGTCCCGGCACGCAGCAATGAAACAGAACACTAGAATCTAAAAACTAAGCAGAAGCAGTAAATAAATACAATGAAATCAAAGAATAAAACAACCCATGCATTTTTTTTATATAAGATGTTTTCTCCCCTGGTGTGATGAAGATCAAGATGAAGATGCATCACTGGAGGACTCCCCTATCAATTTTATACTGTGTCAAATTGCAAGAGAGACGTTTAATGTTGGTGTGATGATTTGCATTCAGTTTTCTCATTCAACCCCTAAATTGTAAAGCAAAATAAATTAACATTTATAAACAAAGCATATGTTATCTGAGAAATCAAAAAGAAATGTCTGGAGGACGACAAATTCAACAAAACCACTTGTTCCTTTGAGCATTTTCATGTTGTTCTCCTCTCTGAGTTTCCAGGTAGAGTCTCAGGTCAGAAACACACCTGAGTTATTCCTGTGATGTGGCACATTTGTCATTTCTATTTTTTCCTGCTGTGGGGTTGCTATGGCAATTGTCTTCTGGGCCTGAACTCTGTGTGGTGCCAACTATCTGAACAGTTCCTTGATGATGCTGTGGTCATAGAAGAATACATACATCTACTGACAATCTATCCAACAGCAATGAAAACAAGTRCACTCTAAAAACTGTTATTTTTAGAGTGTAGAGACCCTCAGAAAATCAAGACCATGACCAAAGGAATTACATTTGAAAKGTTCTTTAATGTTTTTGTATTAAACCATTAAGTTATTCATTCCCAGCATGAACACATCATCCTGCTGCAGCTGCAGCCAGACTTCGGAGGAGCTGCACAAGTCTGAGCAGCTCAGTAAGCTGAGCGATAGATAGGTTGTTGTTGGTGGAGGTGGAAGTTCTGCGATTCTGTGGGGGAAAAATGAAAAAGAAGAAAAAGGAAGCTATTTAAACGTTTTATTCTAATATATATATATATGTATTTATTACTCTGTTCAAGTAAATAAAGTTCTTGCCTTTGTATGATTGTATAGAAACTAAATACTGACCTCTTCACTTCAGCGCTTTTCAATCACATGGGCAGGTTTGGCCTTTAAAAGCAAGAGAAAAACATTTTGGT